ACAGCCTTCCAGATAAAATCCAGGCTCCCTAAGGTAACCCATGAGGCCGTCTAGGGTCTGGTTCCCACCTAAGTCTCCAGCTTTATTACTTGCAGTAAGTATAAGGATGAAGGGTGTGTACATGGACTGCAGTTGTTGACGGATTTCCTGCATGTCTGGAAGACAGAAAAAGAGTCTTGGCATCATGGTATGGGGTGTGAGACTGACAGGATCTCTGAGAGGACAGTCGCTTCCAGAGCACTTCAGAAGCCAGTGATTTCTCAGTCCTCCGCTCTCCTCCCCTTCCGCATCTGTTGTCTTGAGTGTGATCACCTAGAAAAAGAGCTTTGGAACCATACAGACTGAGCTCAAATACAGTTCTCTACCACTTCGCAGGTGTGGCGCCTCAGGCAAGGTACCTAGGCTCCAACAATCCCTAAACCAGGGATGATGACTCCCGCAGAGTGTATGTGAAGCTCCAGACACATGGACCATCTCCACCTGGCACAAGTCATTGTTTCTCACAATTGACTCTCTCCATTGCTCTGAGACACCAAAACCAGTTGGAACCAGAATGACAGCCCTGCCCACATTTTTTTTTAATGTGAAAGATGAAAGGCCCGCATTTCTTGTTCTGATAACTTCCTGCCATGCGAAGTCTCCTCAAGGACGGTCTTTCACTGCGTGCAGCTTCACAATCACCTCCTCAAGCAGAAGACTGAACCATGACTCCTTTTTAGAAGCTTTCCGGGTAGGGAGGACATATCCATATGCAGGACAGAACCTTGCTTCTCAAATTCAAGAAAAAACAGTAACTAATCTATCAACTCTTCCATGATTCAGTCTGCCAGGGTGTTCTGTAAAGAATCCTTTTCCATCCCTATCACACGTCTGCACGAAGGGGGAGGGAGAGGTGGCAGGGTGCCAGTACACCGGCAGGCACTTCCGGCAATGCCCAGGCCCTGCTCCCTTTCTGCTGGTAGTGGTAGGCGCCATTTCTGGCAGCTGCTGCAGCTTGATGCAGGGGAGGAAGGGGCTACCCACCAATCGCCTCTTCCTGATGCTGTATTTTTGACGTTCACGGAAGAGGTCTGTCTCAGAGCTCCCTAGGCTGACAATCTTTGGGCAGCCATCTCTATCCTTCTCCTGGCTGGTGCACTCCTTACAATAATAGGCATCAGAGACTCCCACGGCCTCCACAGATCTCACAGTGCCCCTGGTAAGGGCCATTGTTACACTCATCACATAAGCATACCAGGGTGCAGGGACACACACAGCGGTCACAAATCACACGCTTGCTGTCACAGTTTTCACACAATCTTCCGATGGCAACACCAGCCTGCTTGCAGCAAAAGATAAATCCAGATAACGTTCAGCTGTAGCTCCCATCCACAATGCCCTGCCCACGCTGCTCTGCCCACTTTTTAAAGCCAAGAAGCCTACCTGGAGGCATCAAATCGTGCTTTATGCATAAGTAGGAGCTACAATGCCTTAGCCACACACACCTCCCTTAGGGGGACTCAAATTTACTGAGTCCTGCCTTCGTGCCCAACACTGTATTTGGAACCTTATATAAACATCTCCACTATTCCCCAAGAGGGTTCATCCTTTCCCCTTGTTTCTTTATTATCTATGTCTAATTTCCATCCTTCCTGCTTTAGTTGGACTTGCTGTTCATTTGAGAGGAAGCTGCTGACCACAGAGTTCAGCAAAAGAATGGGAGTCTGGAGGCTCGAAGTGTGGCCCCTGGAGAAGCTGAATGAGAAGTAGCCCTGGATATGGTGTAGACCCCCACAAACCAGAGATCCTGCCCTCAGTGCCTCAGCTTTAGGAAGCTGCTCCCCGCCTTGCTCCTGGGCAGGCAGGTACAGTGTTCATTTCCCCATACCCCAGCATCCCCACCCCAGTTTCCCTCTCCTCCCCCATTGCCTGGTGCTTTGGCTGGCATGCCCCTGACAACCAGGGAGGGCAAGTCCTTCTCCTGGTGGGTAGCTGGCTGGCTTCCTCCCAGCTCAGAGATAAGCATGTCTCAGGTACTCCCTAGGAGGGGAAGTCCTTCCAGGGCCTTTCCTCAAAAGCCGGCCAGAAACAGGCTCCTTCAAGCCTAAAGTTGAGTCCATGGAGTGTGCAGGGTGGGGATGTGAAGGAATGCCACATCACCCTCTGGTGGCAACTCCGCCTGGCCCATGTTTTGTGGCTTTTCCTCTTTCCCTGTCAACCACACCAGGTGAGGCCTCTTTCCCAGCAAACTGAAGCTCCCTCTGGAGGCCCAGGAGGAGTCAAATCTTCTCCCCACCTGTGTACATTATCTTCAAGCTGTAGCAAGTGGAGACACGCTCTGAGTCTAGATGGCCTCACCCCAGCTGCCCGTTTGTCCCACTGATGAGCCAGGTGTTTAGCATTTTAAACATCTAGCACCGATTGACAGACTGATCATTAAATTGACTTTCTGACTGATGGATCCTGATGGACCACTGTCTATCCTAAAAATTAATCCTAAGTAATTGACTGGTTGGTTGACTGATTAAACATCTAAACACACAAATCACTTGATTGACCTAATGGATTTCTTTTTTTTGTTTTTGGTTTTGCTTGTTTTTTGAGATGGAGTCTCGCTCTGTCGCCCAGGCTGGAGTGCAGTGGCACGATCTCGACTTACTGCAAGCACCGCCTCCCAGGTTCACACCATTCTCCTGCCTCAGCCTCCCGAGTAGCTGGGCCTACAGGAGCCCGCCACCACGCCCGGCTAATGTTTTGTATTTTTTAGTAGAGATGGGGTTTCACTTTGTTAGCCAGGCTGGTCTCGATCTCCTGAGCTCGTGATCTGCCCGCCTCGGCCTCCAAAGTGCTGGCATTACAGACATGAGCCACCGCGCCTGGCCACCTACTGAATTTCTTACTGATGTACTAACCGTAGGTAACTGAACACCTGACAAGCTTAAACTGACTGCATGACTGACTCTTTAACCAGCTGAATGACTGACTGCCCAGTGGAGGACCTATAATACCTGATGTCTGGCTCCATAACTAAGGGTTACAGATGGATGGGAGAAGAGGCTGCCCTTTCCTCACACTCCAATCCCCATGGGGACTGAGACCCTATTCTTCTCCCCTCTTGAGCTACTTGAAGACTGCAGAAAGGGTGTTATGGTCAGAATATTGGTGATCTCCCCAAATTCATATATTGGAACCCAATACCCAATTCGATAATATTAAGAGATGGGACCTTTGAGGAAGTGATTAATTCACGAAGGCTCTGCCTCAGGAATGGGCTTAGTGGCCTTATAAAAGGAGTTGGAGTTGAAGGGAGCTAACTTGGCCTTTCCACCATGTGAGGACACAGCTACAAGGCACCATCTTTGAAGCAGAGAGTAAGCCTTCACCAGTCCAGTCCTTGATCTTGGACTTCCTAGCCTCCAAAACTATAAACAATATATTTCTGTTACTTATACATTACCTAGTCTAAGGTATTTTGTTATAGCAGCCTGAATGAGCTAAGACAGGGCAATCAGGAAACTGACGTTCTGATCTCCTTCCGGTGAGGTTCTTCACCAGGACCCCACAGATGGGTTTCAATTTTGCTTTCAAAACAGTGTGGACGTAAAGATGTGTGTTTATCCAGGAAGAGGGTTCACAACTTTCATTGGATTCTTAACAGTTTAGCACACACAAAATATTAATATGTTCAGAGCTACTGCTCTGGGAATAAGATCCTCAGCAAACACATTTCAGATCAGCAAAGCCCTTGTCTGAATTCAAGCCCATTTTTATCTCCCTCCCATCAAGCCAGAGTGGCAGGAAGATGACTAGGAAGAGTTAGAGGGCCTTAGAGGAGGTGGATGTAGCCGAGAGAAAGGAAAAAGGCTGAGCTGTTTGAAGCTTCCAGAGAGGACTGAGGAAGTCAACCTGGGTCCTTCTTGTGTGGAGGTCACACTTCACCCAAGATAGCAGAGGACCTTTAAGTAGAGATGGATACATTTACCCTTTGTTTGGTGCCACAAGTATGTGATCATGAATTGTTATGTGGCTGTGTGTATTACACACCGGTGTGTTCACTAGGGAGGTATAACTGAGCTGTGTGCATATGTGAACGAGTGGCCTTTGGGTTTAGTGTGAGCATCTGAATGGTTTGGTGAACGGATGTGCACGTGCATCCTTAACCATTTAACCTTCAAGCCTCTCATTAAGTTAAGACAAGTTACGGAAAAGAACTCCACTAGGTGACAGTATCTGCAGACAGGCCTACAGCCCACACCAGAAATCTGGGAATCCTCAACTCGTCCCACTCCCTGATCCCTCATCATCCACTGAATCCGTGCTGCCACTCCCACCATCAGCCCCCATCACCTCTCCCTGGGCTCCTGCTCAGCCTTCAATGGCCTCCCCCATAACATTTCTGAACTGCAGCCACAGAGACGATGGTAAAATGACTTTTGGGTCGCAGCGCGCCTCCCCTGAAGCGGACAACGGCTTTCCACTGTCGGAGGATACTGCCCATCTCCTCGGTATGAGTCAAGGGCTCTTTCAAGGTCGACCCTGCGGTCGTGAGGTCCCCGGCTTTGGGTGCGTCTCCCCTCAGTCCGCTCGTATCTCACACACCTTCCTCCTTAGATGCCTCGTTCTCTGGGGCCCTTTGGCGCTGCCCCTGAGTCCCCATCACGGAAACTTCCACCTGCTGCCTAACTGCCAGACGCAAAAGTGCCCGAGCCTGTCTGTCACGTTCCACCCATAAACCTTCCCCACCCGACCCGAAGCCAGAGAGGTCACAGGTCGAAGCAGGGCCACGCAACGGCGCGCATGCCTCTTTCCCACGCCGCAGAGCGATAGAAGCCGCAACAGGAAAACGGAAAGGCGGTGCGCCGAGAGAACAGGTAGGGACTACGACTCCCAGAAGCATCTTGACAAGGACTACATTTTCCAGAAAGCTCCACGCGGTTCCCACCCCGGAACTGCCTCTGCTTTCGAAAGCGGAAGGCGGGCCAACCGGGCGGGCACAGGGTTTCTGAAGAGGTAGACCGGTAGGCGGTTTCGTCGGGTGTCTACCTCCAGGGGTCGTTCGTGAGCTAGAGAAACCCGGAGTTAGGAAGGAAGGGGCCTGGCCACACCCCTTCCGCTCTCGGCTGTGCGTTGCCCTGGTTCCCAGTGCATTCTCTGTCGTGAGCCGAGCAAGGAGGTCGGACAGAAACAGGTCGTTTGTGTCTTTCCGCAAGGTCAGACTTTTACTGATGCTATTCCAGTCTTAAGAGCCAGGAGCTACATGGAGTTCCCAAGGAGGCAATTCTCCTAATACTACCCACTCACTCGGTAGTCAGAGCCATGGGCACACAGGCTTCAGCCGCTACACAAGTCGGTATTGCAAAGCATACAAAATAGTATACTTAGTCAACATGTTCAATGTTGTAGATTAAACATTCCACATCAAGCAGGGTAACATTTAACATCAAGAGCAAAGGAGATAGATAGGAAAAGGGGTTAACAAACTAGTCCCAGGAGAGACAAAGTATCCTGGTCTCAGTGTCTTGCAAGGAAGAGTCTTTGATGTGGGCAGAGCCTTAGGCAGCAGATGCTGGGTGTCTATCATGGGCGACAGCAAGATAGGGTCTGTTAAGACGGCCATTTAGAGCTGGAGAAGTCCTGCTCTTTTTGTGGCCACGGGGGTCTTCTGGTGACGACTGATAGTGAAGGAGTGTGCCTGTTTATGCCCGTATTTGGTTGGGTACAGTCTTTTTTGGTTAGGCGAACATCGGGTCTCTGTTGGCGTGTAAAGTGGAAAGTAAATTTTTTGAAATGTAAATTGGAGTCTTTTGCTAAGATGGAGTTACTTATGTCAAGGGTGTTCTATACACTACTTCTGCCTGCTCTGGCTTTGCCTGTGGCCAGTACTTGCTCTCTGCCCACCTCTTGGTGTCTCTAGGGGATAGAGGCTGGTGGTTAGATGGTCTGTCCCTTATCTCCAATCCTGCATTGCTTATCTGCCACTTGGAGGCAGTGACCATCTTGACTCTAAGAGCCAAACCCACAGAGCCCTACATGTGAGTTCCGCAGCTCTTCTACTTCTAGCTGTGGCTATCGGAGGAGGGGCTACAGGTGGTGGAAACAGGTGTGGACAGTAGCTAGGGGGTGGCGGGAAGATCTGTGGCTCCTGATCTGCCACCTCTGTTCCCAAGAAGATAATTTTCCTGTGGCCTGGGCTCATCCAGCTCATATCCTCAAATGCGTGAGTTCTGTAGGTGGCCAGCCTCTTTCCTCACTTCCTCCACTCCCAGCCTCATCCCTCAGATCCTAGCAATGGGCTCCATGGCATATTTTCACCTTTCTCCTTTGGAGCCACTTAGAGGACCTGTCAAGAAATGGGCGTAACTGGATGGGCTAAAACAAGGATGAGGCAGAAGCAGCTTTCCATAAGACATACCCACCAGTGTGCCATGTCAGTTTACCATAACCATGGCAACACCTGGGAGTTCCTGCCTCTTTGAATGGCAATGACCCAATGACCCAGAAGTTACTCCCCTTTTCCTAGAAAACTCTGCGTAAGCTAACCCTTAATCTGCATGCAATTAAAAATAGGTATAAATATGACCATAGAACTGCCCTGAGCAGCTACTCTCTGCCTGTGGGGTAGCCCTGCTCTGCAGGATCAGTCATGGAGCTGTAACACTGCCACTTCAATCAAGCTGTTTTCGGCTACCCTGCCACCAGCTAGCCCTTGAATTCTTTCCTGGGCAAAGCCAAGGAAAAAGCCACACTTTGTGGCTCTCCTGTCCTGCATCACAACCGCTCCTAGGGAGCTACCACCACTGGTAACTCAGTGTCTTCTAACAGTTTCATGAAGTACAGGCTTCCCAGAGGTGCCTGTCCCTTCTCCCATGTTGCTCCATGTTAACACATTTCCTACCTGAGTAGACCTGTGGAGGTCCCTGAGATCCTTTTAGGGAATCTGCAAGGTCAAAACTGTTTTCACAGTAATACTAAGTTTTATTTGCATTTTTCACTGTTGTGATATTTACGTTTAAAATTGTAGGTGAAACGGCTGGCACCTTGGTGTGATTCAAAGCAGTGACACCAAACTATGTTGGCAGTTACTGTATTTTTCACCAGTATACTTGTAGGGGAAGGGCATGGGAAAGCCAGTTCCACTTAATGTCCTTAATGAAGCTATAAAGAGTATTCATTTTACTCCATTTTGAGCCTTGATTACATGGCATTTAAATATTTTGTGTGACAAATGGGAAGTGTGCATAAAGCAAGTCTGCTGCACACAAAGGTATTATGTTCTGAGGAAAAGCAGTTCTGTGCTTGGTTGAGTTCCTAGCTGAACTAGACTTTTTTTCTGGAAAACACCTCTTTTTTTTTTTTCATTGTATTTTTGCAAACTTTTGTTTATTTATTTTACTTTAAGTTCTGGGATACATGTACAGAATGTGCAGGTTTGTTACATAGGTATACATGTGCCATGGTGGTTTGCTGCACCTATCAACTCGTCATCGAGGTTTTAAGCCATGCATACGTTAGGTATTTGTCCTAATGCTCTCCCTCCCCTTGCCCCCCACCCCTGACAGGCTCCAGTGTGTGTCTTTCCCTTCCCTCTGTCCATGTGTTTTCATTGTTCAGCTCCCACTTATAAGTGAGAACAGTGTTTGGTTTTCTGTTCCTGTGTTAGTTTGCTGAGAATGATGACTTCCAACTTCATCCATGTCCCTGCAAAGGACATGATCTCATTCTTTTTGATGGCTGCATAGTATTCCATGGTACGTATGTGCCACATTTTCTTTATCCAGTCTATCATTGGTGGCCATTCGGGTTGGTTCCAAGTCTTTGCTATTGTGAATAGTGCTGCAATAAATATATGTGGAAAACACCTCTTTTACTTGATCAGCTGATAGTATGATTACTTGGACCTGGGTATTTGATAGATATTTTCTAAAAAATAAACAAAGTAAGCTAACCACTTCAAGGGAAACAACTGACCTTATTTGATGCCAATGAGAAAATTTGAGTTTTCAAGGAAAAGGTTAGAATTTTGAAAAACATATCCAGGCTGGGCACAGTGGCTCACACCTGTAGTCCCAACACTTTGGGAGGCCAAGGAGGACAGATTGCTTGAGGCAAGGAGTTCGAGACTAGCCTGGGCAACATGGAAAACCGCCCCCATCTCTACAAAAAAAAATTAGCTGAGCGTGGTGGTGTGTGCCTGTGGTCACAGGTGAGGCTGAGGCAGGAGGATCACTTGAGCCTGGCAGGTCAAGGCTGCAGTGAGCCATGTTTGTGCCACTGAACTCCAGCCTGAGTAACAGAGTGAGACCCTATCACCAAAAAGAAAGAAAGAAAAAGAAAACATATCTGCCACCACGAGCTTAACAGCATCCCAGTACGTAAAAGGTTTTTCCGATGAGCTTGGTGATAGTATTAACGAATGTGATTTTAAAAAACATTGAATAAAGAAATATGCCAACATTTGGAAGATCTGCATAACTCCATGTATTAGATAGCTGTTGTTACATAACAAATTATCCCGAAACATAGTGAATTAAAACAACAAACACCTATTATCATACAGTTTCTGTGGGTCAAGAATTTGACCACATGGTTCTGACTTCAGGTTTCTCCTGAAGATGCAGTCAACGTGCTTGCTGGCTGTTGTCATCTAAAGGATTAACTGGAGATGGAGGATCTGCTTTCAAGATGCCTTACGTACATGGCTGTCAGCAGGAGGCCTCGTTTCCTTGTTGGTTGTTGGCAGGAGGCCTCAGTTCCTCACTACATGGACCTCTCCACAGGGCTTTCAGTATCTTTATAACATGACAGCTAGCTTCCCCCAGAGCAAGTGATCCGAGAGAGAGAGAGAGAGAGAGAGAGAGAGAGAGAGCGCAAAATGGAACCCTCAGTGTCTTTTATAATCTATCCTTAGAAGTCATGCTTTGTCACATTCTATTTATTAGAAGTGTCACCAGAAACAGGTTCCAATCCAGACCCCAAGAGAGGTTCTTGGATCTCATGCAAGGAAGAATTTCAGGCGAGTGTATAAAGTGAAAGGAAGTTTATTAAGAAAGTGAAGGAATAGGCCAGGTTTAGTGGCTCACGCCTGTAAACCCAGCACTTACGGAGGCAGAGTCGGAAGGATCACTTGAGGTCAGGAGTTTGAGACCAGCATGGCCAACATGGCAAAACCTTGTCTCTACTAAAAATACAAAACTTAGCCGGGCATGGTGGCACACACCTATAATCCCAGCTACTTGGGAGGCTGAAGCATGAGAATTGTGTGAACCCAGGAGGCAGAGGTTGCAGTGAGCCAAGATGGCACCACTGTACTCTAGCCTGGGCGATAGAGGGAGACTCCACCTCAAAAAAAGAAGAAAAAAAGAAAAGAAAAAAGTGAAGGAATAATGTCTACTCCATAGGCAGTATTAAGTAAAGGAATAGAAGAATGGCTTCTCCCTTGGGATTGTTCCTTTTTATAATTATTTCCTGATTATATACTAAACAAGGGGTGAATTATTCTTGCCTCCCCATTTTAGACCATGTAGGGCAACTTCCCGATGTTGCCATGGAAAAACTGTCATGGCACTGGTGGGAGTGTAGCAGAGAAGATGACCAGAGGTCACTCTCATTGCCATTTTTGTTTTGGTGGGTTGTAGTCAGCTTCTTTACTGCAATCTGTTTCATCAGCAAGGTCTTTATGACCTGTATCTTGTGCTGACCTCCTGTCTCATCCTGTGACTTAGAATGCCTAACCTCCTGGGAATGCAGCCAGCAGGTCTCAAGCCTTATTTTACCCAGCCCCTATTTAAGATGGAGTTGCTCTGGTTCAGATGCCTCTGATAGAAGCAAGCCACTATGCACAGCCAACAATCAAAGACAGGAGAATTAATCTCCACCTCTTTTTTTTTTTAATTATTTTATTTTATTTTATTTTATTTTATTTTTTGAGATAGAGTCTTGCTCTGTCACCCAGGCTGGAGTGCAGTGGCATGATCTCAGCTCACTGCAACCTCCGCCTCCCAGGTTCAAGGAATTCCCAGGCCTCACCCTCCTGAGTAGCTGGGATTACAGGCGCCCACCACCACACCCTGCTTATTTTTTGTATTATTAGGAGTGACAGGGTTTCACCATGTTTGCCAGGCTGGTCTCAAACTCCTGACCTCGTGATCCACCAACCTCAGCCTCTCAAAGTGCTGGGATTACAGGCATGAGCCACTGCGCCAGGCCTAAG